AAAAAAAAAAAAGAACTGTTTTTCTTTCCAAACTGAGGCCATCCAGGCTTTTGCTTCCATTGACAGAGATTTTTGTTAAAGAGACAAACAGATACCCAATTTAGCAACACCCAATTGGCACGCTCTGAATTCCTGTCATGGTATCGAATTTCAGAATCTAATCTCAAAACAAAAGCTTGGAGGTTTGTTGTTGTTTTTAAGAAATGAGGCCACAGGGGCTACACTCAATACCCTGAGTTTCAACCTGGCTGTATATTCACTTGACTTAGAAAGCAGACTCTGGAGAGTTTAACAAAGGGTCACGACTAGCCCGTATGGTGCCTCTGTGCAAACCAGAAAAGGAAAACCCTACCCTCAAGTTTCTCTAGATTCGTCTATCCGCAGAATGTCCTAACATGGTGATGTTACGGGCACAATGTATTTTTAAGAACCAGGTGTTTTACCACCATCCTCCTGAAAAAGGTCACATGAAAAGTAACACCAGGGGCGCCTGAGTGGCTCAGTCAGTTAAGCGTCCAGCTTCAGCTCAAGTCATGATCTCAGGGTTCCTGAGTTGGGGCCCCGTATCGGGCTCTGGGCTGACAGCTCGGAGCCTGGAGCCCGCTTCGGATTCTGTGTCTCCCTCTGTCTGCCCTTCCACTGCTTGCACTCTTGTCTCTCGCACTGTCTCAAAAATAAACATTAAAAAAAATTAAAAAAAAAAAAGTAACACCACCGTGGGTGTGTATGATGGGACCAGGCCTCTGGGGAAGGGAAGCACTGGTAAACAGTGCGTGCCGGCTAAATGTGGCACCCCTGCTTTCCCATCTGGATTTTCTTTAAGGGGCACGGGTTGTACATCAAATCCCGTTTCAAAACTGAAGGAATTTAACCAAATTCTCCACCTCTTGACAGGTTGCATTTTACTTGGAGGTTCCATCATCAGACCTTGACTCTAAATAAACCGGCTGTACTGCATGCTGTCGTTGAAATGGAATTTTCCTAATTCCCAAGGGAAGAAACACAAAAGCTCCTTACCTGATGGGGTATGAGTATGAGGCTTCACTTCACAACCAATCAGAATTTTAAATCCCCACCAACTTTCTACTGTATGCCATTTCCCGATTACACTCCCTGGGGACACAGAGCGCTCACCAGAGAGAATTAACCGAACGTCGTCATACCTCGTATTTAATTTACAGGTATTTGAACCGGGCACCTAAGAAGGCCCAGAGTTCGCACAGGTGTCTGGAAAGCAGAGACCACTCAGAATGTTAACAGAAAATAACAAAAGTCGCTATTTCCCACTTATGCTTGTATCAAGAGGAACTTTCTTCTTACCCCTGGCTGTTTCATTTTCTGAATGGCAAATTTGAGCAGGTAGGAGAGCTGTTCAATGGTGAGCATTGTCATGGCTTTACTCTGAGTCTCGATGCATTCTGCTACTGTAATCTTCTACAAGTCAAAATCACACAAACGTCCGGTTAGAAAAAAGTTACTATCCCCATACATAGTTCCCTTTCCTCCCTTTTATGTGTTCCGATAGGCACATATAAAAAGAAAAAAAATCCTTTCCATCCAAACAAGACTGGTTGTTTCACTGGAGAAGGACCCCAATCTACTCGATCATACACTGAATCGGTAGATAAAAATTAAGAGGCACATCAATCCACTGATGACCTTATCTGGGAAGGGTTTGCACTCATGAAGATGACCTAATCAGAGAAAGATGCAGGTAGGCAGGGACCTGAAAACTCACGATTACGGTTGTGGGTTCTCAAGAAGGGGATGTGAAAAGGAAAGACCACTGACGGTTCCAGGGTATCTCTGTACACAATGAAATCAGTCACTTAATTTGATCCCCTTAGGGTTCTGGGCTACCTTTCAGGAAACTGATGAGGCATTACACTCAATGACATCACTGATGGAAAGGGACAGTCTTCTCCGTAGAAACAATCCAAGGGGTGACAGTGAACTAAATATAAATATGGCTTCATTCTCTGTCACCACGGATGTGAACCCACTCAGGACATTCTAGGCAAACTACGCAAGGCGGACAGTCTCGTTGTCTGTCTCCATGGGAAATAAATGTCATCTTGAAAGGGAAATTCCCATCAAAGAAGAGGCCCAGAGAAATGTCTGAAACCAGACTCTGCTATGTAAATCTGGTACCATATCCCGGAGTCAGACTCCTTATGTAGCAACAACAACGAAAATAGCAAATTCTGATGATGTCAGGAAACACTCTTTAACCATCTGTGTAGGGAGAGCTGAGAAAAGTTTTCTCCAATTAATCTTGATTTAGTTTTCATCCTTTATATCTCTGGATCCTCCAAAAGGAACTTTCAGATGTGTCTGGTTGGTTGTCGAGGAAAGGGGCAACAGAAGAGTTGCTCAGAAGCTGAAAACGGTATGTGACGCATGCGTCTAACTGCTTGGCTCCCAGAGCCTGAAACAGCCAGTCTTCCCAGTTGACTGCACTGCCAATGCACCCCTGGAAGAAATGTGTGGCCCGAAATCTTAGACACAGAACACCTGTTTGTTTGAACTGCTGTGTGTTTCCAGGTAACTATCCATGGCGAACAAATTCACTTGTCCTCCATCCCCAATCCCTCTCTCCCGGCTGGCAGTGCCTGGTTCCCACAATATAGATTCCAAGTGCCAGAGAGGCATTTCCAAGATTTTTTTGCATGAGGACCGATCCTGACCAATGAGTGAGGCCAAGGGCAAGTCAGCTGGAGGCTGAAGGGCAAAGTCCTTCTGCTTGATTTTAAAAAGGGTTGAAAAGAGAAAACACTCCTCCCCTTAGAGGGATTTTTGTCTAGACACAAGTGATAAAAAAAAAAAAACCCCAGCAGCCATCCTATGGCCATGGGGGACATACCGCCTCAACAATGAAAACAGAAAGAGTCTGGCTATGAACAAACCCTGGCCTGGCCCTGCCTCTGGGCTCTTTCTACGCAGCAAAATAAATCCCACATGTTCCAGTCCACATTCATCAAGATCTATCTGCAGCAAAAGCCACTCTCGTTTCTGGAAAATTATTAAACCATCGGGAAGGGTGGGTCAAGACACAAGGACACGGATGAAGGCTCCGCTGCCCACCCTGAATGTAACAGAACCAGGTGGAGCCCCACAACAAGAGGGCATCGCTGAGCAAAGCACGTCCGACACGTCGCCCCATCTTGAGGGACCCAACGGGAGCCTGCCGCCATCTTTCACAATCTCAGGCACAGAACACCATTAAAACGTCATCATCGTATCGATCTGATGTCAAGTTTCTTTTCAAGTATTTATTTTTCTCTTTTCCCAACACAAAAGCAGTATCACCACTATTGATAAAGCTTGCTTTTTCTCCTCCCCTAAAGATCTCGTTGTTTGAGACCAAGCTCTAATATACCTTCGAACCGAAGTGACACTCTGCATGAAATGAGTCTGCAGATGACATCATTTGCAGCATTTTGAAAAAGCGTCCTAACTGCAAGTCGCCAAGAAAAGAAGCCACCTCAGATTTGAGAACAGTAATAATGGTGTTAACGGAAAGCATTTCGGCTTTCCGACCCAGATGCGTGTTCCTCACGAGGCTTCTACTCTGGTTCTGTGCCCACAGCACCCTCTGCCTGAAGGCAGCTCACTCTTCCCTCCCTGCGCGCCATTCTCAAATCTTAGGGAGACCTTCCTGGGCCTCTTCACTTGTAACGGAAAACGCCCTCCACCCTCCCTACTCCCCATTCCTCCTCTTTGATTCCTTTCATTGGGTTTTCGTCCTCTTCTCCTGAAAAGCTTGTAATGCGTGCCCCTTTTTGCTCCCTGCCGAATCCCTAGCACCCAATGGGCACTGCAGAAACAGCTGTGGCGTGCCTGAGAGCATCAGAGGACAGCCATAAGCAGCATGCAACCAAAAGTGGTCTTCTGGGCTCGACTACCACCGATGATTCAATGAGGCAGCAGGAGACGCCATCCAAGATGAGGAGACCCCCGCATGCGATCGTTTCAAGACATGGGAACGGTTAACGGTTTAGGACTTAACTTCTGAAATGTTCATTATGGGAGAATTCGGAGAAGGTTCCAGATCCCAGAGTGATCCAAAGACCCAGGAAGAATCAAAACCGATACTCAGTGCAATTGTTTTTCCAAAAAGCCGCAGTGCTGAGGCCCCTGCCAAAGCTGGTCCCCAAAGGGGGGTGACCAGGATAGAACAAGGGGAATGCGAGAAATTTCTTTTTTTTTTTTTTTTTTTTTTTTTTTTTCCATATCTGGATGATTTGAAACTTTTAAAATCAAAGGAAGAAAGAAAAAGGAGAGGAAATGAGGCAGAGAATGCATTCGTTCGTCAGGAACTAACCTCACATTCAGGACAAAACCAGTCCCCCTCTGGTTCCGATGTCAGTCTCAGACACTTAGCGTGATAAACCCGGGGACAGAGCTCACAGCAAAGGACTTGGCCTTCCCGGTGACAAACCCAGCAGTAGAAATCATTCCGTCCATCCTGCGGTACAACATCAACAGGGTCTGTGGTGAGTGGCTGCTTCATATAGTAAAACGGACCATGTCTTAGTTCTGACTGAAATGTAGGCAAGAGAGACAGGTTCAGTTTCAAAACACATGCGCATTCGCAAAAGGAATTTGAACAAATACGTCAACAACAACAAAAGAAAATCACAGCATTTCACACATTCATTACAAAGCTATCTTGGGTTACTCTACTAAATACACAGTTTGCAGCTCGTTAGATACTAAGATACTTTCCTTTTCTCCCTCTCTCCTCTATCGGCAGAAGCCATAGATTGAAAAGCTGGTGTCTGACCAGAGTTAATAGGCTACCCTAACACAAGAGTTACAATGGCTACGACCTAGGCACACCCAGGTTGAAATCTGAGCTCTACCAGCTGCATGACCCTGGGCAAATCTCTTCATCTCTCAGCTTCAATTTTCTCATCTGTAAAATGGGGATGATAATACCCAATTTCACGGAATTCTGGTTGGGATTAAACGAGACGATATAACAACATACGCATTTAACACACTGCTGCCATTACTAATATTATTAACACAGGTATGGAAGTCTAAACAAAGCCAACAAATGTGTGGCAATTCACCCTACGATTCTTTCCACGGGCTTTTGGAGAACAGACCAACTGAATTTAAGTCACAGAAAAAAAGGGGGGGGCATTCATTTTTTATGTCTACCCCCCACAATGCATAAAGTATCAGAGCCAATCAGAGGCTTCCTGAAGCTATGATTCTTGAACATGGTAATGTCCTCAAAACACGAGAAATGTCTCCCTAATAATAAATTATAGAATCCAGCAAAGACATACTCCAAACATGTAAGATCACTCAGAAGAAACTTATCGGGAAAACGTCTACTGGAAATTAGTAACAAATACAGTATTTCAGAAGTACTACGAGAGAGTCTGGTGGTAAGCATCAAAGTGACCCAGTGACTGCCTACGTGGTCTTCTTAAAGATCCTCAACCCACTTGGAGCCTCGATTTCTATGGATAATAGCTAATCTCCACAACCACAGCACCTATCTCTGACAGTGAGCTTCCTTCCCTCCTTGTCAGCAAAACATTACCGTTTCCTCCACAAAGATCTCATATGCTGGTTAAAGCTGCCTAATTTCTGTTGATACTATGAATGGGATTTTTTCTACTCTCTTGTCTAAGTAGTTATTGTTGGTACATAGAAAGGATGTTGGATTTTTCCAATCCTGACCTCGCAAATAAATGGTTCTTAGTTTATTGATTAAAAATAGTATCTTCTCGGGGCGCCTGGGTGGCTCAGTCGGTTGAGCCTCTGACTTCAGCTCAGGTCATGATCTTGCAGTTTGTGGGTTCGAGCCCTGCATCAGGCTGGACTCTGTGCGGACAGCTCAGAGCCTAGAGCCTGCTTCGGATTCTGTGTCTCCCTCTCTCTATGACCCTCCCTTGCTCATACTGTCTCCATCTCTCTCTGAAAAGTAAATAA